AATTTCTCTTGCTTTCTTTTCTCAGCTCTTGGAGTCCCTGACTATTCACCATTCCATTTCTCCCCACACAGTACCTTGAGATTTCTGTGTCTCTTCCTATTGTCTGTTGTTTCTGTTGATTCTCACTGAGCTGGTTTCTTGTTATGCGTGTTGTTTAGTGGCCATATTATTTGGAAATTTATCTTTAAGAATATGTGATGGCTAGGATGAAGGTGCCTTTCTCCAGAGAGGCCTTTTGTGTGGTTCTGCCAGGTTTCTGGTGGCATTACCTGTGTAGGAGCTTCTTGATCCAAGTTCTGTGCCTGGGATGTTTTAGTCCATCCAGATGGTGGTCAACAAGAGTGCGAGATCCCCTGTCTTCACCGTGAGCTCTTCCACTGTCTCTTCAGTACACAAGGGCTGTGGCTGGTCTGTTATCTCTCTGACTTCTCGCTTTCCTTTGTACTGTTGTGCAGTTATTAGTTAGCCCTTTGTCAGGTCTTTGATGCTCTTAGGAGTGTGCTTTCATGTTCATTGGGCTTTTGAAGTTCTCATCTTTGGGAGGAATGGTCTGGAAGTGCCTGTTCACACCGTTGCCAGAAACACAATTCATATTCTTGCTTTTTTCAAAGACTCAGATTTGTGGCTTTTGTAGTCAGGGTCTTGGCAAGGGAATACTTTAAATACAGGGCACATAATTTGTGGGATTATTTTATGATAATTACCCCAAAAGTCAAATGCAAAGGAGTACAAGAGATTAAATGCACAGTAGGGGCCCCAAAAATCCATCCAAGGGCCTGGATCCCAGCAGTGTCCCACACAAGTCCAGCTGAAGGCGTAGAGTCCAAGGCAATTTCCTCCACGAGTCCAGCCAGTGGCCTGGAGCCCAAGTTAAAGCACAGAATGCCTGGAGCCCTGGCAATGTCTCGTGCTTGTCCATGTTGAGGATGTGAGCCCAGAAGGCCCAAAGGCCTGTGGTGGAAGTCAGAAAACCTATGCCAGTGAGATGAAGGACATATACCACCAAGCTGAGGGATCCACATTGGGGCCAGAAAGTGATGCTCATGGTGAAGATTAGAGCTCCCCTGACAAGAACAGCAGCCATTCCCAGTGACAGGGAGGCCCTGAGCTCCTCCTCTGATGAGAACAGCCTAGTTTGTATCAGGAAAACCATCCACAGCAAGCTTCTCCTAGAATATCAACAGGCCAGGCTCTTCTCTGCCAGTTCTCTTTTTGTAGCTGTTGACAACCATCCTCAGGTAGATGCTGCACACCCAGACCATACTGATTCAGCTGGGCATAGCAAGTTGACCATTAGTTAATCCATTACAGTGGCCCAAGCAGATAATGATGGTAGCTGTCAGGAAATTGTTCTGTTTAATTTTTTTTAAGAAGGTAAATTATTTCCTGTTGGACAAATGTTGTGTGATTATAAAATGAGTAATAAAAATCCTTTACAATTTACAAGGTAAGTGTTCTAGAGAGGTCCAGGAAAGGACTTGGAGTTCATTTTTCTAATTGAAATATGTTTAAGTAGTTGGTTTAGCCACATCACAGGACAGTGTATTAGTATCTGAATTTAATGCATTCATTTTGATCATCTTTCTTTTCTTTTATTTTTTTTCAGTACTGTGGATCAAACTTGGGTCCTTGTACTTGCACAGCAGCCGGCAAAATCACTGAGCTAAATCCCCGGCCTTATCATCTGTCTTTGGTCAGTAAAAAGACCAAAATATGAAAAAAACACAAGCTATCCAAACACCCCGCTGACAGTGTGTGCTGCAGCTTTGCCCCGTGCCCTTACGTTGATTGATGGTGCGTCTGCACGAGTAGTGACCAGCAGGATGGCCTCTGCACTGGCAGGAGTGCAGGTCGAACTGTATTTCTGACCGACTGCCACACCAGCGGGTGCTGACGTCGCGTCCCATCCATCTCACCTGTGGGGGGCCCCGGGACACCCAAAAGTAGTCCTTGGATCTTTGGGGTGGGAGAGAAGAATCTTTGCCATTGAGAATGAAATGATTCGGATACCTTCTTTTCATTGGTTTAGATTTATAGTATTTTAAGACCAAGTGCAGATGGCTTTGGGACATCTCGGAGTGGTGTCGTTATCGTCCTCTAGGTGACAACACTACTTCCTGTTTTGTAGCCTGTCCCAAGCAACAGGTCTCTGTTGATCGCTCTAAAATAATTATTCCTTATTCCAGTGATCTGACACACTGCTTTATTAGAGTTTCTTGGAAGGTCTTGCAACTCCTTCTGATGAAAAAAACAGCTTGAAGCTGTGTAAAGTATTTTATTTTTATTGAAAACATAGAAGTCACTTTTGCTCCTTTGCGCTTTGATCTGCACGCCGGCGCTAACCGTGGGATTGTAGCTACCCCAGTGGCGAGACGTTGGAACTGCACCACCCCGCTCACTCCTGCTGCCTGTTTAGACCCCGCTTTCTCCAAGCAGCCTCTGAAGTGGTCTCCACAGAGCGCTTCCGACCTTCACCTCCCGTCGCATTCCAACACTAGCTCTCCTTTTCCCTTGGCATAGAACACCTGCTTGCATATCTGCTTAAGGGTGTCCACAGTTACTTCTAAACTTCTGGGGTACAGTCTCCCCTCCGCGTGGCAGCTGTAGCAGGCCCCGTGCTAGTGCCCGGCTGCGCTGTGAACCCTCGCGGTCCTGCCGAGTGCGGCTGTCGTGCTCTGATTTTATGGGTGGAGGAACCAGGCCAGGCTGAATGGTGAGTGGCAGAGCCTGGATGGGAACAAAGCAGCCTCTAAACTCGTGCTTCCCTGGGGAAGGTCGAGTTAAAACCAGAAACCAGATCATGAACACCACATGGGGCAGTGATAAAAGCTACTTTCTGTGTGTTTTTGCAGGTTCCAAACCAACTTAGCACACAACCCTTTTAGCCTCTAAGAGACTTACAGTTTTATGTCTATTAATTTTTTTTCTGATAGAATTCATAAATGTGGCTTAGGTTTTTATTCAGCTGTTTCGCTCTTATCTTTTTGTATTCAGGAAACCATTAATGTTTGAGACAGTAACTCTCCATGTGGGCTGTCTGATGAGCTCACAGATGGCATTATTTCATCTATCCTCAAACCATCTGTGGCATCAACCTAGCTATTCCATGGGTGTCACCGCCCCGTTTATGCAAGGATGAGTTATTAAAGTCAAACTTTATATTTGTGTAGCATTTGGGGTAAATGTTAGCATAAAACATTGATTTATTTTATCACAACAGTTTTATGCAGAGAACATTTAATTTTTCACTTCTTGGTTTACTTTGTATTCTTTGGAATTGAATTGAATTCCTCGTCTGTTTGCTGAGCACACACTGTGGTGGTGCTGGAGGGGTGGAGGAGGACCCCTGAGCTTACTAAGGCTGTAGTCATGCAGGAAGTGCAGCCCGATTCCCGAGCACAGGGGAGGAGGGCGGTCTGGGGTGGGAGGTGAGGGAATGGCAGGGCAGGACACGGGAGAGGGTCCGGCTGCAGGTGGGGTGGGAGGAGGGAGGGCCGGGATCCAAGGTGGGACGGGACAGGCGGCAGGGACCAGGGGCTGCGTGGGTCACTGAAGGTTCTGCACCACAAGTCGTGGGTGACCTCAGGAGAGCCATGTCACGCACGGGTGTGAATTGGGGACCACTCTCCCTGCAGTGTGGACAGTGGATTAAAGACGGGGGTAGGCATGGCTGTGGGAGGCAAGTTAGTCATGGAGAAGTGTGTGACTCACCCCAGGGGTGCAGGAGGGAGGGGAAGCAGAGGATTGTGGGTCCCCCCAGCGAATGGTTCCAGTCAGTTTTCGCAGACGCTGTGCTTTCTGCAGGGAGGACACGAGCCAGGGGGAAATGGAGCGAGACTGAGCCCCAGAGTTGGGACGGGGCCCCGATGGTGGGAAGGCGGCCCTCGGGGGGCTTGGGATGAGGAGGATAGACGGGCCCTGCTACTGTACTGTCTCCCACCTGCGGTCCAGGCAGTGCCTGACGAGCCTTGCCCTGCGTGTCAGTGTGTGTGATAGCAGTAGACCTGCAAGGGGTACATGTGTCTGTGTAGTACCCCATGTCTTCATTTCGGCCAGGGTCTCAGCTTGGTCTTCCATCCCTTGCTTACTTTGAAGAAGTCTCCCCTGAGGGCCTCTGGTCTGCCTGGCGTTTACTGTCACCCATGGCCGCCATCCCTAGTGTGGCGCTTGGGTGCCTATGGGTACTGATGGGCCCCACCCCATTCAGGATGTGCTAGGTCAGTGCGTGTCCATTTTGGGCTCCTCAGCTGCCCACCACTTACGGTGTGGCCATTAGTAAAATCCTAGAATTCTAATCTCCTGTGTCTGCAGATGTCTCATCCTCTGCATTTTTTTTTGGAGACAGCTTCTCACTGATTCACTAAGTTGCCAGGCTGGTTTGAATTTGTAATCCTCCTGCCTCAGCCTCCCAAAGTACTCAGGTGACAGGTGTCGCTAGGCCCCGCCGTCCTCTGCATCCGAGCTGCTCCCCCTCTCCGCTGCGTCTCTGCTGTGGGCAAGCCCTTGAGCTGTTCAGGCACCTGCCAGCCAGCTGTGCTGCTCACAGTGCCACAGTCCTGCAGGCCAGCAGAGCAAGCTCAGGTTCTTCTGTGCTGGGTACGGACAAGGGAGCCCTGCTCTGCTGTGGGGCTCAGCCGGTGGCCCGCAGGGAGCGAGGGCGTCCTCGTTGGCCGGGTCCCCAGAGCTCTGCCAGTGCCACAGCCACCGGGCCGGGAGAGAGGACCCAGGAGTTTGGCGGGCCACTGGCAGTGGCTGTCATTCCTGCCCCGTCACAGAGTAGGGGCCAGGGACCCGGGTCCCCAGACTTCAAGGGGCAGGGGTGAGTTCGGCTGCTCCTGTGAGCTGGTCCCTGCCCAGCTGTTGGCCTGTGAGGTTCGGCTGCCACACTGTGGTTCGGGGCTGCGAGGTGCAGGAGGGACAGGGCCGAGGGCAGGGCTCCTGGTTGCCTGGCCTGGGCCTTCGGGGTTGTCCTCTCCTGACCCTGCCACTGTTCTCCACAGCGAGATAAATGCTCGACTCTGCGCTGTCTCGGAAGTGCTGGGCTCCGAGTCCAGCGTGTTTGCCCAGATCGAAAGCCTCCTGCAGAAGCTGCCTGACATGGAGAGAGGACTCGGGAGCATTTACCACAGAAAAGTAAGTGTGATCCAGTCGGCCTGTTCGTGCTCACAAGCATCCTCCACCGAGGACAACAAGGGAGCTTGTCTGAGGGCTCTGTAATCTTTTGTGTAATTTTATTAAATCTTGCTGGTGGCATGAGAGAACGGCTGAATCCTTAGAGATTTTAGCTGCACAAAATAAGGTTTTCCAGTTTTCACATTTGTGAAAAGTAGTTTCCCCGCTTTTTCTTGGGGTCAGCGTACCCAGGGGCCCTTCTGTGCTCATGCGGGACAGACTGTTTCATCCTCAGAGTGCTGACCATCACCAAGATGGGAAGCTTCCTAAGGCCTGCTGCTTCAGAAAAGAGAAGCCGGGGTCTCTTGGTTTTAGTGTGTGTCCTGTCAAGTGAGCAGTGAGTCTTTTGGTTTGAAGCAGCCGCCTGTGTCCTAGCCTGGGAAGAAACCCACTGCTATGGCCTTGCGTGTTAAGAGTCCAGAAATTCAGATACCGAAGGGGTCAGAAGCATTATTGTGGTTTTTATCACTTAATTTTACAGTTTAAGTGACAGCACTGAGAAGACTTTTCCACACAGGGAAATCAAAGTATGGCTGAAATTTTAAGATGAATAAGTCATATCTATAATAATTGTGAATAAATCAAATTTTAAAGTGCTTCTTCACCTTTTGTAGAAGTCGTTCGCACACATTCTGCCCTTTGTCCCTTGCAAACCCCCGGAGAAGCTGTTTTTCTCATCTCCTTACTGTGTGAGGCTCTCACGCCGGCCAGGCCATGAGGCCAGGGTGGGTTTGTGACTCGCTCAGCAGTGACAGAGTCTGTTTAAACCCAATTCTTACTGAGTGTTTAGTGGCGGTGTCTTTTGGATGTTACCGTGTTTGATGCAGCTGTCTTGACTGCTATTGCATTTCCCCTCCAGTTGCTTCTTTCCACAAGCAGATTTTATGTTTTGCTCAAACAGAATCCTTGCCAGTTTAATAACATTGTTGCAGAACAGTTTTTACATGGCCAGATTTTAGTGTGACCAACTTTTCAGTAGTGTTTACTTTTTAAGGCATTCTTCACCCACGCAGTTTCCTTGGGTAGTCAGTCCTGCCTTGAGAGCACAGGCAGGATTCTTGTCTCCATCCCCTGGCCCTCAGTCTGCCCTGATTCCTGCCCGCCATGGTGTTTTGCTGGCACTCGCCGAGGCTGTGCTGGCGTTGAAGTTTTCTGGTTGACTCCAGAAGTTACAGAGGGGCCAAGCCACTTGTTCTTCCATGTCCTGGCCCGTGCCTGAGGGAGAGTGCCTGTGACCCTCCGGCAGTCTGCACGCCTTGTGCCTTCCTGAGGGAGGCAGGGGGGCTCAAGTTTGAGCCCAGCCTGGCCTCAAAAGAAGACATAAACAGGGCTAGGGATGGGGCTCAGTGCAGAGCTGGGCTCTGTACCCGGTCCTGCAAAAAGAAAAAGATTCACGGACAGGTGTTGGAGACCTTTCCTTCGTCGAGAGAAAATGGACACTGAGCTGAAGTTCTCTGGGTTACAAATCAGAAGAGTGAGGCCTGGTGTCCAGGGCGCCAGGGTGGGTGGCAGGGCCCGTCTTCTGTTGCGAAGCCCTGGCTCTCCTTAAACCTCAGGGTGTGTCTGCCTCTGGTAAGGTCTGTGCATTTATAGAAGTCTCCAGACGCTGCTAGCAGTCACAGACTCAGTTTAGCCAGTGACCGACATGCAGTGTAAGGGTGGCTTTGGTTTGGGGTTTCAGAATGGTCCGGGAAGGGGCTGACTCGCCAGGAGCTGTCCCCGGTGCCGCCTTCATGCCTGCACAAGACCGAGCGGGGAGAGGCTGCAAAGGGGGCCTTGGCCGTGGCTCGTGTCAGCCCCACTATGCAAGGGCGGTGCTTCAGGCCACTCCTGCCACAGGCCACCTTGCTCCAAGTGGCTTCTGCCCTGTGCGCCGCAGTGAGCGACAGGCGGGTGGTGACAGCGCCAGCTGTGTGAGCCTCACTCAGCGCCGAGGGACGCTGTTTGGGTGTCGTGGACGTGGGGAGCCTGGGCCTCCTGGCTGTGGGGAAAGTACCACGGAAGTCACACAAGCAGGTCTTTGTGGGGATGGCCATGGAGAGCCCACCCAAGCTGGCCCTGGAATGAAATAAAGTGTCTTACGATAATACAGCTTCAGATTCAAATTGTAGAAAGTAACGTTTGTCACCAGAACCCAAGCTAACTGCTGGCGAGGTGACCGGTGGCTGCCGAGGTTGCTGGGTCCGCTGCACTTGGGGCCGACGGCACTTTGCAGATGCCGAGGCGGGGTTCTGGGGTTTTGGGCAGGAAGTCTCCAGCCAGCCCAGAGGAGCCCGGTCCCCTCTTCCGCAGAGCGCCGACGCTGGGGCTGCTCACCGGCTCGTCCTGAGGGCTCCTGCAGATGTCTACAGCTGGCTGTGGGTGGCGCGGGAGCTGAGGCGGAGCAGCCTCCTTGCAGGCTGTCCTCCTCCGCTCCCTCGAAGCTTCTCTGGCTGAAGAAGCTTGAGCACAAGGCGCTTAGGCCCTCACCGCAAAGTGCTTAGCTTTCCCTTGGCTGCTGTTGCTGATTTCAAGAATGAATCTCTTTTTTCCCTCTCAAATTGCAATAATTCCATGAGATTATTATTTAAAAATTATACTGAAGCCAGACGCAATAGTGTCTGCCTGTAATCCCAGCTCTGTGGGAGGCTGAGGCACGAGGTGCTCATGTCCAAGATTGAGAGGTTAGCAAGTTCTCGACTGAGCAGCTTACTGAGTGAGACCCTGTCTCAAAAATAAAAGAATAAAGAACTGGGGGTGTAGCTCACTGAGAGGGCCCTGAGTTCAGTTCCCCATGCTAAAAACAATTTGTGTTGAAAAAGTTTATCTTTGCGTCTACTTTTGTCAGAATGTGCACTAATTGACTGTTGGCTGAAACACTTTCATGCTCCACCCTGTCCAGAGTCAGGCTTCCTGTGTCACCCCAGCGGGCCGTGCCCTCTTGGAGAAGGGCTTTGGTATGCGCTTTGCTCAGCTGGACCTAACTCCTTATCTTTCTTCATAATTTACTTCATCCCCTATGGTTAGTGATTGTTATTTAAATATGTTCTTAGCGTTACTCTGTTTACATATGCCACTTCCAGTGCCTTCTCATTAATTTAATCAAAATTCCTTTTCATCTCGAGCTGTTTATATTTATTGGCTATTTGCTGGGTCATCTTTCTGGAGGCTTGTCTTGTGGAGTGTTGTGACTGGAACTGTGGGGCCCACGTGCCTGCTGCACAGTGGCCTCGTAGGTCCCTCGCGCCCGTGGCTGAGCCTCCTGTGGTCAGGTTCCGGGTCCTCTCTGTGCGTCCCTACTCCATGGGGGCCACGTCTCCAGGAGTGGATGCTGGCGCTGCTGAAAGGAAGTGTTCGAAAGGTTAAGAGCTGAAACACCTCTTTTCTGCTCTCATGTTTAACTGGGTGTACCAGTCCAGGTTCCACATCGCGGTCCTGGTTAGGGTTCTCAGAGGACAGGGCCAACAGGAAATGTGTGTCATCATGCGGGCCGGCCAGGCAGTGCACAGCCCAGCAAGGCTGGGAGGCAGGGTCCGGAGCAGCTCACCCCAAGGTGCTGGAACAAGGGGCGCCCAGCCGCAGCCCCATCCAGGTTGGAGGCTCGCCGGGGAGCTGCCAGTGCAGGAGGGTCTGCTCTGCAAGGCCAAGGAGACTGCGACGTGACTGGAGCGCTTTCAGCACGGGCGCACTGCTGCTGCTTCCCCTCTGTGTTCCCTCCCAGCCTGCGGTGGTCTCCCCGCATCCGCATCCGCATCCGGCTCTCCCCTCTGCGCCGGCACCCGCAGTCACCTGCCCGTGCCCCCAACCTGCTGCGCCCCCGGTTCCTCCAAGTGGGCACGGAGACTGAGGTCCGCGCAGTCGCTGTCCTGTCCCTCAGAACTGCGTGGTGGTGCCTTCCAGCTGCTGGTACTGACGAGCAGGCAGGCAGAGCCGACCTGCCTCCCGAGCCTCTCTGTGGCCTCCTTCGGTTTCCCCCTCTCCTCACCTCCTCTAGAACCTGGAAGACGCGGTGTTGTGTTCATCACCAGTGTCCTGAAGCGTCGTCACCTGCTGCGGTTACTCTGCTTTCATTCATCATAGTGTGCCCTTGCAGTGTAGCAGCTTAAATCCCGAAGTGATGGGTAATTTTCCTGGTTTTTTTTCTTTCACTTGAATTAATGGATTTCCTGGACTACCTCTGACTTTCTTCTGTATTTTCCATGTCTTATACTTGTGCTTTATCTCCTTAGAGACTTTGTCATCTTCATCTTCTGCCTCTCCACTGAATTTTAATTTCCGCTATCAGTTTAAATTCTGAGAATTTATGTTGCTTTGGTTATTCTCTGAATATTTCTTATTTTACAAAATAGCTTTGCATTTTTATTTTATGGTTGCAACATCTTCTATTTTATGAAGGTTATTACTGATTTTTTAGGTGTTTTTATTTCCTCCTTCTGATATAGCTCTGTTCCTTCCAAGTTTTATTTTTGTTTTGGATTTTACATTTCCCTTTAGAATTTTTTCTCAGGTATCTCATTGTCTTTTAAAAGTAGAGAACTAGAAGGGTGATAGGAAGGTCTGTTTCACTCAGTGTAGCTTTAAAGACAGTAAGGAGGGGCCGGGGATTTAGCTCAGTGGGTGGGTCTGGCGCCTGGGAGGGAACTTATCAGCGAGTCTTAGGGGATTTCCAGACCCCTCGAGTACCCTCTTTGGCACTCGTCCCGCCCGTTCCTCATCCTCTGTCTCTGGCCCCCGTCCTGCCGGGGCTGACGATGGTCCAGCTGCCCTGTCCACCTTCCCTGGAATAAACAGGTCTTCCAGGCTGGAAGGGGAGTGCTGGTTGGCCCGTGGTGTGGAGAGGACAGGGCTGAGGGTTTAATTGCTTCTTAAATCACTCTCGGCTCATCCTTCCCCTCACCCCGCCTGCCACTTCCAGAGGCCATTTAGGTACCAGTCTTTGACTCTGTTCGTATTCTTGGTATAAATCAAGCTCCATCTCAGTTTTCCTTATGGACAGCTTAAAGTTCAGGTATCTCAAGTCTTGTAAGTCAGTTACTGCTTGTCTCCTTATAGTTTGTAGTTGCCTCCTGTCTGTCTTATTCTTGTGGCTTTATGCTTTCTAAAACTATATCTTGATTGTACTTTCAAGATGGACAGGCTGACTGTGGCGGCACACACCTGTAATCCCAGCACGCAAGGCTGAGGCAGGAGGATTGCTGTGAGTTCGGGGGCAGCTTGGGCTATATAGTGACTCTGTCTCAAAAAAAAAAGGAAAAGATGAACAGAAATGAGGCGCACATGTTCTGGCCACCCTCTGCACCAGAGCTCCAGTGTGAAACTGCCCACATGCAGAGTAGACAGTTGTGGTGCGTACAGGTGTGCAGTGGAGGTGCAGGGTCCCTCTGCCCTCCCTGTGGCCGCTGTCCAAGGTATGCAGAGGGAGCCACACGCGTGCCCTTCATTCCTGTTGCTGTTTGATACCTACAGAGAGTAGTGCTTATCATTTCAAGAGTCAGAGAAAATGCTGCCATGTAAATACATAAAAATATATTGGTGGTGTAAGCATACTGTACACATTTAATATATGTTGAAATTATGGCACTCCTCTATAGTGTTTTCAGATGTCTTAAGTTTTAACTGTTTCACAGTATTTTTCCTAGTAAGATCCCAATCCGTGGATATTTGTTATTTTTTTAATATTATTTTAAACAGTGCTCCTATAAATATTCAGATACACATTTTTTTGCTACTTGTTAAAGTATATTTTAGGGAAATGTTTTAAAGTGGCATTGCTTGGTTGAAGGGTGTGTGTCTGCCCATGAGCCAGTGTGCCCGACAGAAAGGTTATACTCCACTAGTAATGTAAAAGGTGCTTTTTATTTTTACCCACGTAACGTGGGCATTTTCAGCTTTCACGTCTTTGACACTGAGATGTGAAAAAGGCTACCTTGCAGTTTTAATTGGCTTGTCCTGTGTAAAGTTAACATGCGACTGTTGGAGTCCTCTCGTCTGTGAGCTGCATAGTTTTTAGCCTTTGTTCTTCGTTTTCGTTTTCATGTGGGTTGGAAGCTCCCACCCTGCCTGGGAGAAGTCCTGTCTCATACGTCTCGCATCCCTTCCCTCGGCACCGTCCTTCATGTATTTGATCGAGACCACAGAACAAAACAGTGGCAAACAATGTGTTTTAAAATGAAAAGTACCCAGCAAGGTTTGGCTTTATCCCTTGCTCACATCGTTTTTTTACAGCCTGCAAACATTTTATGTGTTCAGTCTCATTAGGAAGTTCTGTAGCACTAACTAGTGAACTAGCTAGTTTTAAAATTTCGTCTTGGGGCCAGGGATTTAGCTCATTGGCACCATACCTGCCTCGCAAGCACAAGGTCCTGAATTTGATCCCTGGTACCGGAAAAAAAATTTCTTCTTTATTCTGACTTTAAAAGATCACTAGGCTTCACTTATTCTGTGGAGATAAAAGCTACTTCTCTTCTCAGTGTTCTACCCAAGAGTTCTTCTTGATCGTCAGAACCCTGTGTCACCTGAAGTCAGAGCTACAAGTGTTAATGCCCGTGGTGAATTCGCATGTGCAGTCAGACTTGCTTCGGATGATTGTTTTGGAAATCCCAGAGCTCCTCAGTCCTGTGGAACATTACTTAAAAATACTCAGCGAACAGGCTGCCAAGTAAGTGCTAAGTGCTCAGTTCTTCCTTTCTGGCAGTGAGCATAGCCCAGTGCATCTGCTGTTGATGTGTGGTTTCTCCATCTTCACTAGAATAATGCTAGGTGTGGCTTGGATGCGGTGTGGTTAGACGTGAGCCATACTAAGTTGTTCAATACAGCTGAAAGGTGGCACTTGGTGTCTGCACCGAGCCCCCTGCTGGTAGGGCAGGCCGAGTGCTTCCCCAGTGCCTCCCTGTGATGAGAAGAGAGAGCCAGGTAAAGCCAGGAGGGGCAACTCATAGCTCAGAAACCTAGGTCTGGTGGCATCCTGTACTCATTTCCTAGATACCCAGATCTGCCTTCTGTTTAGAATTTCTGTTTGGAAAGCTTTCCTTTGAAGGGTAGTTACTTCACAGCACATCCCACAAGAGCTCTGGGTGACGGGCAGATTTGATGTTTACGTCTGTCTTTGCTCTCTGCATAGGCAATGACAGAGATGTAATTTTACCTCTTGGTTTCAGGAGGGGAATCGTGAACTTGCTTAATGAAAATGATAGTAGGATAACCTTCTCACCCCTCAGAAGTTAAGGAATGGCCTCGTAAATACTGAGGCAGAGCTGGAATGAGAAACCCACCTTCCTGACTTCCAGCCCTTTGGTCTTTCAGGATTCTGCAAGAAGAAATTGATAACTGGTCTCATTAATATGCTTCCATATGTGTGTTGCTTTTTTTTTTTTTTTTACATTTTAGAATTGGGGATAAAACTGAATTATTCAAAGACCTTTCTGACTTCCCTTTAATAAAAAAGAGGAAGGATGAAATTCAAGACGTCACTGCCAAGATCCAAACACATTTGCAAGAAATACGAAAAATACTAAAAAACCCTTCAGCGCAGTATGTGACAGTTTCGGGACAGGAGGTAATGTCCCCCGCACTTCTCTTTTGCCTTGGCTTGCAGTGAGTAGAAAAGATATTTTAAATGTAGACAGAAATCTGAGGATAACGTCTAAGTATTACTTTTTGAAAGTCTGTGTTTTCTTCCTTGGAAATATGTTGTGATAACTTGTTTTCATAAGAAATATTTTACTAACAATGTTCTGTTAGTCTCTTGGTAAATGCACGTCACTTAAGTTATATGAGTTTTGATGTTGCCTCTTGAAGTTATGTTATAGAAAACCTGATTATTGTGAGTAATAATATAGAGATGACCTAGCCTGAGGAGCACAACTGCTAAAAGAAAACCAAACCAAACCACCCTGAAATCTGCCCTTGGCGAGTCTCCCGTAAGGCTGTGGTGAGGTGTGGAATGCGGTTCTGGCGAGGCTGGGTGTGAATGTCTGAATGGAGCCAGGAGAGGGCGCAGAAGCCCTTCCACTGCGGTGCTGGGGATGGACCCAGGACCCTCGAACGACAGGGAGAGAGGCGAGGCTTCCGGGGACCTTTCCATGCGTCCCAGTCTGAGGCCTGTCAGTCTGTCTTACGTTAACACGAAGATTCCAGCTGCCGGGATTTGGGAAACTTTGCTTTGCTAAAATAGCAAGTGAGGAAAGTCATTTTATTCAAGATTTTAAAAAATAGGTATTTTCTTACGGGGAAAATTTTATTTTCAAATCATATATATATATATTTGTACCAGAAATCAAAGTTAAGGCCTCATGCTTGCCAGGCAGGCGCTGTGCTGCTGAGCTACATCCCCAGCCCCAGATGTCTTAATATTTATATTATTTTGTGTATTTTACCAAAAGATGGCTGATAGTATGGTTATTTGAAATAAAGTACTGTAAATAATAGCATTTATGAAAATATTTATACATTGGACATTTAAGACTTTACTGCTGATTTAAGTTAACTTGTTCTGGACTAAAATTGTGAAGATGTTGTACTCAGGCAGATATTTCATAAAATGAGTTTCGCTTAGAGCTCTGTATAACAAAAAGTGATCTGACCACATTTATGTAATTTTCATGATTTGACAGTGTTTGCGTCTTATCTTCCAAACACCAGATATTTAATTGCATCTCTTATCTCACTGTGTGGTCATAACATTGCGAAGTAAAATGTAACCTGAGCTCCACTCTCTGGCTCAGTGGTGAAAATCCGATGACCATAGTGGCTTTGGTATCCACAGTGGAGAGAGTGGAAGAGGCTGCCTGGGGTGCGCTAGGAAGCGCTCGGCATAACTGCCAGCTCTCCCACCTAGGTGTGGGGTGACTGTGGGGGTCCTCTGTGCTAGGCGACTTTGAGGAGACCAAGCTGAACTCACCGAAGTGCTTTCTGATCGTACCGTGCTCTGAATGCGCTGCAGTGATGGGGCGTGGTCACCACTAACGCAGTGCTTGGTGCTAGTGTTCTACACATATTTTCTTATTTCATTCTTGTACAACATAAAATGGGTCATTCCGGTGTTGCTGAGAAGTGAAGCGGGGTTAGGAGCCAATAGCTGAGTTCCCCAAAGTCAGCAGCCAGTGCCACTGTGATCTGCCGTGCCCCTAGCATGGCAGACCAACCCTCAGTCTGTACCAACCTCAGGAACCATCAGCACCACGGATTTTACCTAGTAAAATCCAGTCATGGCAGAGTCTATATTGTTCCAACTAAAATAAAGCTTGAGTGTTAGGGAGACAGTCTTGGGTTCAGTTGGCAGCTTTTAAGTAAAAATGGAAGAAAATGACAAAGACTTGGTAAGTACTTGTTATCTGTTAGGAGTGTAGCCTTGAAGGTCAAGGAAGAGTCCAGAATGGAGATCAAGTAATTGTTTTATGGATCATTGGGAAGGAAGATGTTATCTTTTTATTCTTTACACCCTAAGCAGGTCAGGATGGTGAGTTTGAGAAAGAGATTTTTCTAGTTATTACCAGTAGGATGCATTCTTGTTTAACTGCCTACTCTAGATTTTTACTGCTACATTAATGCAATATTATTTTTAATTTTTTGAGAAACAGTGATTATGTTCATTCAAATGCCAAATAATTCTAAATATTCAGAATTCCTGTAGTCAGATTGTGTTTTTTTTGTTTCTTTTTTCTTTTTTTGGTACTGGGGATCGAAGTCAGGACCTTGTACTTGCAAGGCAGCTGCGATGCCCCTGAACTAAATCTCCAGCCCAGTCAGATTCTGTTTTAAAAACAGACTAAAGGTTTTGGTAAATTATTTAGAGTTACATGAAAGGCTAAGCTCAGATCTGTCAAGTGTGGTTGCTCTGAGAAGTAAGGGAGGAAGCTCTTACTGAATGTGTACGCATGCTTCGTATTTTAGACCCTTCTGACATTTTACTTCTGTCACAGTGTCTGAGCCTTCTTGAACTGACGCGTTCCTGTGTAGAGCATGGATCTTAGCTGCTCTCGCTTTGCTATATCATTAGCATACCAAGCCTTATTGTGAGATGACTCTGCAAGTACTGGCTAAGAAGAAACTCATAAAAGAAAAATTTATGTCATTTCCCATAGCTCACTGCTTCCATGGCCGTGTCTGTCATCCTTTATGTCCACAGAGAATTGTCTCAAACTTAAACCAAACGTGGACATGGGGCAGTACTTGGAGCAGTACTGATAAGTAGTGGTGTTTGTAAAGGAAAGGGAAGTAAATGCTGGGAATAATCTTTAGGAAAAGTTTTATTACTTCATAGCATGCCATATATCCAAAAATCTGTTTTGTGTGTTCAAAGTATGGGAAACATTCTTTGTTAAATCTTCTAAGTAAAAAATACATGAAAATGTTTAAGAGGTGAGAGGCAGAGGGGAGGCAGGGTAGTGGGGGGCTGGGAAGACCCAGGCAGGCGCTGCGGCTGGGAGGCGCCCAGCAGAGAGCGAGCGAGCAAGCAGGACGCGGCCTCCCTGCCTCTGGCCCCGCCGGCTGCGCTCCTGACCAGGCAGAATGGGCCTTGAGGAGCAGGGGGGAGTGGAAAGGACACATCCAGGCATCTGCCTGCCATTAACACCTCGGAAACAAAGTCAGGAACGGGAGCAGGGAGGTTGCTAGGAGAGCTCTCAAAGGTTTCTGTGGTGTGCAATTTTCAGTGTTATTTTGTGTTCTTTGGGAATAAAATGCTTGTATAAAAGGCCTGGATGATCATCCTTTTTGCAAAACAAAATAGCTAGAAAGAAATTTTCCTATTATACATGTTATGGTCAAAATATACAGTAAATATTTAAAATTTAAAAATTAATTATACTAAAAGGCACACTACCACACATCCCCCTCAGAATCCTCCCTCTCGTCTTCAGCACACGTGTCCTGTGATCTTTGCCACTTTCTCAAGCAGGTCTGGAAGTCCTCTTTCCTGAGAGTCTTTATGGGATATGATCAAAAATACGAGACTGCTGTTGCTGAGCTCCATCCAGTGGAACGGCAGCTCGTAGAAACATGACGCTGTGTCCTCATCCACTTTGGCGCCGTGCAACTTCTGGCTCAGAATGACCATGGAAGAGAAACATAAGCAATTTGGGACACGAGGCAGCCAGAACAGCACAACCAAAGACACTAAGGAAAGAGTTTCAGAGCTGCGGCAGCAAGTGCAGGAACCCCGGGATAAGTGTGTACGAAGCTGCGGAGGACTGTGAGGGGACTCCTGGCAACGTGGCCTCTGATTTATTATTCAACACTCATTCTCCGTGGTGGTTTTCCATCACACTGCACACAGCTAGTGTAGCCGAGGAGGAAGCTCGAGGGTGGCCCTCGCGGGAAGGTCTTGGGCTGGAGGCTGGGCACCCGTAGGTGCCATGTGTCCCAGCAGGCGATCCTGGGGCTTGAGTGGCCAGGCCGTCCCTGGGCTTCCTGACCTCGTCCACCTCCGCCCCGCGGTGGCTGTGCCGGTGGCTTGCTCCAGTGATGGTGGCCCCAGAGGGATCTGGGATGCAAAAACGATTCTGTGATTCCGTTCCTGTTTCCTGCCCCCGCTGTGGGCTTTGCCGGAGCTGGAGTCGTGCACTTCGCCTCTGGTGCAGCTCGGAGGCGGCCTCCCACCGGGGGGCTTCACGTGGCCGAATTATTTAGTGCAGTGTAAACGTGATTTATCTTTCTCACCTGTCATACCTATTTAGTGACTGCTTTGCAGTTACTTTTTGTGTCCGAAGGAACTGTAGTCCCCACCCTCGTAGCTGTGTAGCTGAGTGCGTCAGGGCTTCTCTGTGCGTGGGGCATCCTTATTCAGAAATTTTTGGTAAAGATGCAAATTGGTAAAATTAGCCACTAATTCTTGTCATAACTAACGTAAAAGCTACTGTGGTTCTATTAATGGAAAAGAAATTCATAGCCAGGTGATATTCCTAGTGTGACATCATAAATACCCGGAACCGTGTGCATACGGTGACTGAGAGTTGTGAGAAGACGTCCCACGGCCGCCCAGCACTGAGCGACAGCCTTGCAGCTCGGTACCTTTGGCTTCCTGGCCCACGTGAGAAGCCTGCAGGGACGCGGTGATGGACAAAGGGGCGGAACCGCTCCCTCGGCAGCAGCTGGAGCAGTCACAACTTACCCTGTGGAGCCGCTTGGAGAAGAGTTGGATTCCCTGTACAAAACGGTTGCAAAAAATCTTGTTCTGTTTGGAACAGAAGAGGGCCTGTATCACAGACTACTGTGACCTGTCATAGCTGAAATTCTTTTTTATAGTTGAATATTTTAAATTTTTGTCAGTAGAGGGCCAGGGATTTAGCTCAGTGGCACTGCACCTGCCTCACAAGTGCAAGGTCCTGAGTTTGATCCCCGGTACCACCAAAAAGAAAAATTTGGGGGCCGGGGATCTAGCTCAGTGGTTTTGCTGTCTGCCCCGCAAACGAAAGGTCCCGAGTTCAATCCTCAGTAACAAAAAAAAGAAAAACATATGCAAAACCAGTTAGCTGGAGCATAATGTGGGTAAAAAAAATAATTTTTTTTGTCATTAGAAATTTAATTTGAATGGAGTAATTGGATTCTTAAGATAAGTGGATACTAATAAAACAGGCTATTAATGAAAAAAATCACTATTCCTAGTAAGCACATAGCAATGTTATAAACATTACAGTTCTAAGTTGTATCCTTTATTATAAACTTTTGTTTAATACAAATTGTACTTTATCATAATCAGTCAAATTTGCTGTTAAAGACATACAAACTCTCCCAAGAACAATGCCGGATTTATTTTGAATGCTTCGACTATTTACCTGACTGTTATACTATAATGAAAAATAATGGCTACCCATTGAATATCTGACTGCTCATTTGTATTTATTTGTTCTAGTTCATGATTGAAGTAAAGAACTCTGCTGTGTCGTGCATACCGCCTGACTGGGTGAAGGTTGGAAGGTAGGTTCAGACAGCCCATTTCGTACAGCAGGGTCAGTGACGTGTGCAGCTGTGTGCCACGGCTGAGAGAGCTGCTTGTTCAGAGGTAAAGCAGCTTTTCTCCCCTGATTTCCTTAGGGACATTTTGACCGAAGAAAAAATTTTAAGCTATTTTATCATTGATTTTTAAATATTTTTCAAAAAGGTGTCGTTTTTATACATTTTTCTTCTTTTGTAGCTTACTGTTTTATCTTGTCAGCTCAGAGTGCACAAGGGAAACACTGAGGGAGCTCAGCTGGAAGGTTGGTTTGGGTCAGGTGTGGTGCTGCACAGCTGTCATCTCAGGCCTGGGAGGCTGTGCAGGGGACGGCGAGTTTGCGCCCGGCCTGGACAATTCAGTGCCTTAGCAAGACCCTGGCAACGGGTGAAAAGGGCAGGGAATGTAGCTCAGTTGAATCCCTGGTACCAAAAAAAGAGAAAGATTAATTTGGTTGCTTGAACTTCTTGGTGAATGCTGCACCTGACATTTCCTTGAAGAAGCTGAAACTTCATTTTCTACCTCACTGCGTTTTACATTTCTTCCATTCTTCATTCTTTCTGCGGCACATAGCCATAGTAGTTCTTTACATCTATTTAAACTTCCATCATGAATTGATGAAAATAAATTAATCCAAAACAGAATTTGGGAACCGCAGCGAGACTGTCTGTTTTCCTTGGTTGGCATTCATCTCCAAAAGCAGCCCCTTTGATTGTTTTTGTTTGTTTTGAGACACAGTCTCACTCTGTAGCTCAGGCTGGCCTTGAACTCACAACAATCCTCCTGCCTCAGCCTCCTGAGTGTGGGATTACAGGTGCGCACCACCACACCCGGCTAGCAGCCCTCTGAGGAAATAATGCCAGAGAAGTGCAGGGTGACTGTATCCTCCCGAGTGTCGCTAGGACCCTAGTTACAGCTGCCTGACCAGAGGGGAAGATGTTACCTCCACTCAGAATGCCAGTAGGCGCTGGCTACAGAAGGAGCACTGTGCTACAGACGGTGGGAAATGCTGGTGCGATGTGTGAATTAATCATTTTAATTGAAAAGGAAACTATTTATTCCCCGTTGCCACAGCCTCAGACCCTGCTGTCCTCTGTCTGCTCTGTCCTCCATCCAGCAGCCACATGAATGGTGCTCCCTGCAGTGACATTCTGACAGTCGAGGCTGTCTGTCTAGGACAGGGACTGAAGCTCTAGAAATGAGTTTCACCAGAACAGACCAATGTGATAAATACGTGCAGAGGGCTAGATGATGCCACTGATAGCCACCAGCAAGGCAGCACGCGTGCTGGGCTCTCCTGAGCACTTGGCGATGTGAGGCTGAGAACAGCAGTGCCCTCTGGGGCCATCCAGGCCATGTTTAATCTGCCCTGGGCCATTAGGCCTGGCAGTGGAGCTGGGTGCCGTGGTTAGATTCTGAATGCACCAGTGCCTCAGCCAGTCAGGCGACCGTGACAGTGTGTCCCAGGGGACAGGCGCCACTCTTCAGATGAGGATAGCCCCTTGGTGGGCATGGGGGTGCACGCCTGTAATCCCAGCGCTCTCAGGGGGCTGAGGCAGGAGGATCTCCAGTTCAAGCTCAGCCTGAGCAATTTGGTGACTTACTGAGACCACGTTTCCAAAATTTAAAACAAAGGCCTAGGGGTGTAGCTTCGTGCCAAGGCCCTGAGTTCAGCCCCTAGTAACACAAGTGCATGCACGGACACATGCACATCAGTCCATTCTGTGTGCCTGCAGTCACAGGAGCTGGGAGTGGCAAGGTCGAGGCCTGGGCCTGCATTCACTGTCCGCTCCCCGTGCGCTGGTCCAGAGCAGCCCCGTCTTGCTGCTGCCTCCCACAGCCTGCCTTACTGTGCCCTGTGCAGCTCTGCATTCTCCCTCCCCTCTGAAGTCCATCGTTGTACAGAAAAGTATAAAAGTGTGAGAAGTAAGGATCTTGCCCGTGTTCCCACTGCCCTGCTTGTTGCCTGCTGTGAGAATTTGCTTCTGATTTTTTAGAAAAGCGTTCTATGTAAGTGTAAAGACTACCAAGCCTCTGCCTGCATGTGGAGGTGGACCTCTGCCTCTGCACACTGTCAGGAGCGTCTGCAGTGGCCTGGAAGCCTCCTGAACAGCCCGATCCGTTCTGTGAGAGCAGCTAGAGGGTGTGCGCTGCCCTCAGCCGGCTCTCCTTGTGCCCCAGCCCGCCGGGCCTGCCCTTGACTCCGTGTTGGTGCTTTCTCTCCCTCCGCAGCACGAAGGCTGTGAGCCGCTTCCACTCTCCCCTGGTGGTGGAGAGCTACCGACTCCTGCAGCAGCTCCGCGAGCAGCTGGTCCTGGACTGCAACGCCGAGTGGCTCCGCTTCCTGGAGTGAGTTCCGGCCGCAGCACGCTCTGGCTTTTCACCCTGACAAGTAGGCGGGAAAGTGTTTCCACCAGAAGGCGGAGTTAGAGATCATGGCTTGTGCCCTGCTGCCAGACCATAGGGTGCTGTCTTCTGGGCTCTGCCTTTTAATCCGCGGAGACATAGCACATCTTTGACCCCGATGAGACCACAGAGACGTAACTGTCACCATGCTAGCATTGTGCAGCTAGTGATGTTCTGTAGACTCACTTTTTGAAATTCCACCATGGAATTTACCTTTCTTCTCTCTCTCTTTTTATTCTTTTCTTTCTTTTTTTTTTTTTTTTGAGACAAATTCATTCTGTTTCTTCCAGGCTGGCCTTAAATTTGAGGCATTTCTCCTCCCTCAGCCTCCTGAGTGCTGGGATCTCAGGCATGCACCACACCCTGCTTATTTTTCTTCTTTAAAAAATAAATTTTATTTTGTCCCATTCCCTCCCCTGTAACCCCCCCACCCTATGTACAAAAGCTTTGTTTCCATTTTTTCCTTCTGTTTTCACTTTTTTTCTTGTTCCTTGGTTCTTTTCTCCCTCCCTCTTCCTTTGTTCCCCTTCCCATTTGAACATTTTCTTCCCATTTCCCATTTCCCAGTATCTATCATACATATTAGTCCTTATTTCTGGTATGAAACTTTTGGTTTCTCATACCACAGAAACAATGTGGTATTTACACCTGTGTGTCCCATTTATTTCATTTAAGAGTATGGTCTCAAGGTGGATCTATTTAGCTGTAAATGTCTGAAGTCCACCCTTCTTTATGACTGAGTAGTACTCCATCATATAAAAAAACACATCTTCTTTATCCACTCATCAATTGATGGGCATTTGGGCTGTTTCCAAGATTTAGCTGTTCTAACTGTGCCGTTACAAACATGGGTACGCATATATCACTGTGGTATGGTTCTTTTAATTCTTTTCAGAAAATACCCAGCAGGGGAATAGCTGGGTCAAATGGGACCTCTAATCCTAGTTTTCTGAGGTATCTCCATACTGATTTCCACAGTGGTCACACCAGTCGACGCTCCCACCAGCAGTGGAGCAGGGTTCCTCTTTCCCCACAGCCCTGCCAGCATTTGTTACTGGTTGATTTCTTGATAGCAGCCATTCTTTCTGGGGTGAGGTGGAATCTCAGCATTGTTTTGCTAAGATTTGCATCTCATGAATGACCAGTGATATTGAACATTTTTTCATATGTTTATTTGCCATTTCTAATTCTTCAGCCGAGAAGTGTCTTTTCATTTCAAATGCCCATTTTTGGATTGGGTCTTTAAATTGGGGGGGGGGGTCTGATGTTTTGAGTTCTTTTTTTTTATTTTAGTTCTTTTATTGGTACATTTTAGGTATACAATTCTTTTACATTTATCACTGGGTGTTTGTACCTGTACATGATGGATCTTGGTTCTTATTTTTTTTTCCCCATTACCTGTGCACCCTTCACCCCCTCTGCCCTTTTGAGTTCTTTATATATTCTAGATAATAGTCCTTTTTCTGATGAATAGCTGGTAATTTTTCCCACTCTGTGGGTTGTCTCTTCACTCGGTTGGTGGTTTCTCTTGCTGTGCAAAAGCTTTTTATTTTTCTTCTTAAAGACTTCATGTCTCTTGCAGAGTTGTATGTGGATTTGTTGTTTCTATTCTCCTTTAAATTTTTTCTGCATTCTTACATGCTATGTGTTTTCCTTTTAGTTTTTTATTTTGAGAAATGCTAAAGCTGTGTGGAGTTGAAATGACCATCCATCTGCCCCTCATGTGGGGCTGTTAGGTTTTCCCTTTTGCCCCTTTTGTCATATCAGGAAACAGTTCCTCTCTCCCACCTCGCTTGTTTGTTGTACTAACTGGAGCAGAGCCCATCGACACCTGTGTTGCACAGTCCAGTCCTGGAATCAGGAGAGCGTCAGATAGTTCCTTTTAGCCCAGTCCTGGGGAGGAGCAGATTAGGGTCTTGGCGGCTTGTACAAAGCTGAAGAGGATGACAGTGAGAACAGGGTGGAGAAAGCCCCTCTGGTGCTCACTTCCGGGAGGCAGGGCAGGACTGCTGTGTGTGATGGCTCCTGGCCAGCATGAGAGCATGCTCGGTGGTCATCTTGGGGCTACCGTGTAGGGCACAGGCTGAGGGTGAAAGAGGGGCAGATCCAGACCCCGAGCTGGAGCAGGGATTTGAGCATGCTCCCCACCAGCCTCCTGGAGAGGCTCCTTGGTTCCGCATGTGGCACCCGGGGATGGCAGGGACAGGTCCCTGGGCATGAGACTTGCATAGACCCTCACGCCCTTTGTGGGATTCATACGGCTTGTTTTGTTGAACTTTAATTCAGTGAGAGAGAGGTGAATGATGTTCATTTTGCTCTGTGTGCTGTGAGTAGGTTCTTCCAGTTTACAGAATTAACACAAATAGTTGGACACTTAAAATGTTTTCAGAATCCTTTAGAAACAAATCACTTAAATAGAATTCTAGAAGAGTGTGCCAATGCCCTTTTCCAGTAGGACGCAGTCTGAACACCTGTGCATCAAGCAGCAGTGAATGCACCAAATCCCAGTGTTTCTAAACCCACACTGCAAGAGAAACATGTTTAGGGGAGGCGCTTGGTGTAACCCCAGTCCTCCTCCCTCCTTTCTGCATGCTGTCCTTCCCCTCTTTAAAAGGATGAAGGCATGTATATTGTGAGGTTCTCCAGAGAGCAGGCCACTTATCTGATGTCTGTTTTGGTTCTGCCTGTGTACAAAGATAAGGAAAGGCAGGGTTGGAGTCCAGAGTCACCTCGAGGCGAGGGGTACCAGGAGCTTCGAGAGCCAGGGCTGGCGTCAGTGCTGGAGCGCGCGTCTCACTGTGTAAGGCCAGGGTTCCGTCCAGCACTCTGGGCACAGTGAAGGAAACCAGAGATGCTGGGATCTGGGCGCTTCTGTTTCCTCCCCGAGACCCTCAGCCAGTTGCTTTATCCCTTTGGCCTCCCTGTGGGACTTTAGTAATGCAGACCTGCCGCGGTGGCGATTATAAAGAGGTGATGCAGGTACTCTCAGAGTCTCTAGTTGGTAAACGTGGTTTTCATGCCAGCTTTTTGCTTGGGCCTCGTTTACAGTCAACTTAGTTAATATTAAATGCCCTCGTTTTCTAGTCTTTTGATGAACTTGTGATTTTTCACCATCTCCATTTAAAAAAAAATTTTTTTTAAATTAAACAGTCTCTTTATCTCTCTTGGAAGCTGGATCATTATCCTAAGGATTTAAGCTCAGTCATATATTTTCACTTTTCTTCAAAAGATTTTATTCAAGGCATTTAAAAAAGTTTTGGGTCTTTTCTGTAGTATAATTATATGTATTTTAAATACCCACAGTTGATCATTATATACAAACGTCCACAACGTATGCAGTATTGCATACATTGACACCATGACAAGAGCTGTGAGATAATTCAGACAAAAACAGATGACCCATGGGTGGGGGATTTAGCTCAGTGGTTCCACCGCCTGCCCTGAGAACACAAGGACCCGAGTTCGATCCCCGGTACCAAAAAATAAAAAAAACAGATGACCCAGCTCCATACATTTTCCTGAGTAAGACTCTGAATAAAAGTCTTAAACTTTTAGATCATGAGGGATTACAGTTTTAATTAGTGAAAGGTTTGAGGCAATGACCATTGTCTTTTTAAAAACAAACCTAAAATTTGATTTTTTTTTTATGCATTGTTAATAAAATACTTTTTTTTTTCCCTTGCTCATCTTCAGCAATTAGTTTTTACAGTACCTAGTCTAGGCCAAGAATTGTGGCTACACATTCGGGCTGCAGTGGCAGGTGTGTCTGACAGGCCAGGCTGGGCTTGGAGAAGTGTCTCACAGAGTGGACAGGGTGAAATCATGGTTCAAGGTTTGGGTGTTTCAGAAGGCTCACTGACCCATCGGGTAGCTCAATGGTGTCAAAGGTGCATGAAATCGATTGCTGCGTTGGCATTAATTACATGGTCGGGTAAAATACCTAATATGAATAGGAGATGTCTTTATATGGAAAGTCTTAAATTTATATAATTCGATCCCAAACAGAACATCAGGCTCAGTAGTCGCATTATTGTATTGCAAGGCAGGGCAGTCCCATGCAGTTCTCATCCCCTGCCTCTCAGCTGTGCCTGCACCTTCTGTTTGGGCTTTTTTGTGCTAATTAAGTGACCATTTGTTGCACAGCCTTTCTAGGTCTAAGAACAGTCAGTCACCTTGCTCATTCCGGCGTTGTTGTTGCCTATTTCTGCAGGAGTTTTGGTGAACATTATCACTCTCTGTGTAAAGCAGTACGTCACCTAGCAACCATTGATTGTATTTTCTCCCTGGCCAAGGTTGCTAAGCAAGGAGATTACTGCAGGTAATATATTTTTATCCCTATCTTTTATCTTTGCTTCTGATAAAATGTCATTATTCAATTAATTTTAGTTTCTTTGTGATAAAATATTGCAGTTATTCAAATGTACTAAGCTCTTGATTTAAAAAATAGCAAATTTCCATTTTTGCTTCTGTTTCTGAGTTTGTTCAAAACAGATGTTTGTTGTGACTAACTGGAGTGAACGAGGTGCTTTAATTTCTAAGTTGACGTGAGTGACATTTTTGAGCTCCCTTTTCATAGGTTAGCTTGACTGGAGCACTTAACAGCCTATGCAACTATACAGTGATGAAAGCTTGATTAGGCAAGAAGGGACCGAGGTGATGGGCCATCTCTGTGACCCTTTCTGCCCTGAGTCGTCCTGCCATGCTCCACTGGACTCCAGCTCCCAGCATGCTTTGTGCTCCTTTTCACAGAGGACGTTAACATGAGGCGGTTCAAACTCAGAGTCTCAGCTCCAGCTTGGGGCATTTTGGATGATGGAGGGAGGGATGGAGGGAGGGATGGATGGATCTCAGAAAAATTAGGGTAACATTTACCTCACTGACGTACCTTGAGGACTAAAAACGCATATACAAAATGTGATTGAAAAATAGTAAATATTTTTTAAAAATGTTAAAGTACATTGCTGGGAATGTAGCACAGTGTTGGAAGACTTGCCTAGCATTTGTGAGGCCCTGGGCTCAATCTCATACCTCTCCTTCAAAAACCCCGAAAACCAAAATATATATATTTCAGTAAACGACATATTGCCATGAATCCCCCTCATAATCCTCTCCCTCACTTTGAAACGCTTTCCCATCATCCTTGCCAACTTTCTGAGTGTCTTTAGTTTCAGCTACCACTGTCCCAAATTGGTTCACTCTGTTGACCTGTCATGGTCATTTTGGCTTTGGGGAAGAGCCAGAAGTCACATGGTGCCAAATTCAGTGAATAAGGCGGATGGGGACACAGCTTCAGGTTTTTACAAGCCTGCCTCGTGTTGGATGGCGCTCGGCAGCAGTCACTGTATTTTTGATGACCCCTTGAAAAGACCCTAATGAAAGAGGACTCCAGACCTGCTGCAGAAAGTGGCAAGATTGATGGGATGAGTATGTTCAAAGCCAGGAGCAGTATTCTGAGGGGGATTAATAGCAGTGAGTCCTTTGCTGTAATACATTTTTTAAGTTTAAACATTCACCACATATTTTCCTTCCCTTTCTTATTAGTATGTTTGTGGTATATAATAAATACTGTGTTCCTTGCGGGGAGTTGGTACATATACATATGCACCTTGATCCTCTTTTCTTTCCCTGCCCTTCTCTTCCATGCCCCATCCTCAGGACCCCTTCCATCTCCACAAAATCCATTTCTCTGTTTCCTGCAGTCCTTTATTTGCTCCTAAATTATTTCTACTTTGAGTTTTTCATATAAGAGAAACCATGTGATATTTAACCATCTTTGTCTGATTTCAGTTCACATTGTGGTCTCATGGTCCATCCATTTTTCTGTGAATGACTCAGATTTATCCTTCTTTACGGCAGGGTAGTATTCCCTGGTGTGTAAATGCCACACTTTCCTTATCCATTCATCTGTGATGGACATAAAGGTCACATCCAAGGTTTAGCTGTTGTGGGTTGTGCTGCTATAAACCCAGATATGCATGGATCACTGTAATATGATGTCTTTAACTCTTTTGGGAAGACACTCAGAAGAGGCATAGCTGGTTAATGAGACCCCTCCCCAAATTAAAAGAGCAAATAAAAAGGGACAGAACTCAAAGAAGTACAAATAGCCAATAAATCCATGAAGAAACACTCACTGTCATTGGTCATTAGAGAAACGCAACTTAAACTCAGATTCCATCCTACTCCAGAAGGAATGGCCATTGTCAAGAAATCAACTAATAACAAATGCTGGCAGGGCTGTGGGGAGAGAGGAGCCCTTCTCCACTGCTGGTGGGAGTGCGGGCTGGTGCAGCCACTGTAGAAATCAGTGGGGGAGGCTCCTCAGAAAACTGCAGATGGAAATGCCACTCCCTGCCTCTGCAGATCACCCTGGATGGTGCCCAGCGCGGCCGGGGACAGAGGTCCCTGTAGATGGGCTTTGCTGCTCATTCTTCTTCCACATCTGTTTCCTCTCTGCTTGGTACTTTTTTATATTTAAGTGTCCTCTGTATCTGTTATGTTTGAGTGTCCGATAGTACCCAGTAGGTAGTGGATTTTTAAAATGTTTGTAAGTACAGTTTCTTAAAGGACTTCCAAGGAACAAAGACAAAATGAACTATTTTGCATTTTAAAAAGAGAGTAAAACTCACTGTCTTATATTGCTGTCACGTCATCATTTTGTTTTCTTACTGTGTCTCTCAAAACATCTGTCACAGTCTTCCAGGGAGGTGAAGGAGAGCAGTGCAGGCGTCACCTTTGTCAGTTGCTTCTGACATTCATGAGGGACAGCTGAGATCTCAGGAATTTCCATTTCTTACCCGAAAGAGCAGAGACAGCATTTCACAGTGACGAGGTTCATCAGAAGATGTAGTGGAGAGAGAGAGGGCCGCATGGTGGATCTGTCATGTAGACAGAGTCTGAGGTGGTGTTCAGGGGCCAGGACTGGAGAGACACGGTATGAGAAGGGCCTGTGAATGGGGATTTGGGGCAGAGTTAAACGGGTCATTGCCACCCAGGTGGATGTCAGGTGTGGCAGCCCTGTGCTGTTTGGTGACGGAAGCTGAGCCAGCTTGTCCTGCAGGAGGACTTGTGATGGCTTCCTGTCTTTCATTATATTTGTTCACCAATATCTACTTGTCACTGTGTGTAGGTGGACAGGCAGAGGATCGAAAGGAAGCCGATGGTGTAGAAATGCAAACACTCATTTGATGGATTATCCTAATTAGTGTTTATAAACCTGAAAGTGAAAACGTTTAGCAGTTATGGAGCAGACAGTAGCTGTGCTCTCTTCAAGAAACCAAGAGCTTTCAGCAGTTTCGCAGAATTCACCAACTCTGTCGATGCAAGTGTGAAAAGAGCCAGTGCTAACAAACGAGCACTCGCTGGAGATGTAGTAAAACTGGAAGCGCAGTGTGTGTGAGTATAGTCCAGGCACTGTGTAGCCCATTCTAGGTGAGGTAAGAAGGAATGGAAGTGGGAGATTGCCGTGTCGAGGCCGAGCCTGCAGCTCAGGCCAGAGCACCCACCTGGAGCACACAGGCCCTCGGTTCAGTCCCCAGCACTGCAAAAGACAAAGCCTCTAAACACCTAAAAATAAACCTTTATGAAAATTTGTTAGGAGGTCAGGGTTTTTTTCTTTTTACTCTCTCTTTATTCTCAAGTCTGTAAAATTATTTGACAAACAGACTTTATTTAAAACATCCATTGCAGTCAGATGGTAGGGGGTGGTGTGTTTCTTTGTGTTCCAGGGGTTCAGATAAACCACTGAGTTAAAGGTGGAATGTACAATGACGGCATGGCTGGTGTTTTAGAGCAGTCACAACCAGTCAGTGTGTCTATAGACATAAGTGCATGAGAAGGCTGGGAAGGGGAGAGACAGACTGATGTCGGGGCCAGCCGCCAGGAGCAGGAGCGGGCTGGGCTGCCCGGCTGGAGAGACGAGGAAGCCACGGATGGAAATGGGGAGGCGGGCTCAGACGCACAGGGAGCAGCAGTGCCAAACAAACTGCTTCTGCATCACAACATGAAAGAATCAAAAAACTGTAAAAAGATCTTTCACTTAAACAGAGTATGAAAATTATAGAGCATTCTGTCTTCAAGTCCAACACGTAACATTATATGAAGGCAGTAATCAAATAGAGAAATAACTTAACCTGATTTTCTTTATTACTAAAAACAATTTAAGTACCAATAACTGAATTATAATCTTTAGTAATGAAAATACTTCATTGATCTTAGTAGGAAATATAAAATAGTAGGAAATAGTAGGAAAATATAAAATTTAAAACATCTTATGAAGGGTGGCTGTAGTAGTGGCACCATCGTAAGATTCTGCTAGAGTCTGTGCTTCAGTGCACTCCATTCCCAGTTCTTAATCTAGAGTGAAAATCTAGCATTTCTCCCTTAAGTTTTATTCTGGACGTATGTTCCTTGTTTTCCCTTTTTTGTCCGGATAGAGTATCCTTTTGTGTTTATTCTTCTTTTATTTTTTTATGGGTCCGTCTTTGCAGTGCATAATGGTTACACTTCTTGTGTGGAATCAGTACTTGTCCGTGACACATCCCAGTTTGTTCTTTTCATTCCCTTCCCCTCCTCACCTGCCCTTCTCCCTGCATCTCTTGAGCCTATCCCCATTTAATAAAGACCCATCTCCCTCCTCCCGATTATCTATCTTTTACTTTGCTCTTTAGCTATAATTTGGTTTTCTCATGTAAGAAACACTGCATGATATTTAATCTTCTGTTTCTGATTTATCTCACCTAACATGGTCTCCAGGTGCATCCATTTTTTAACAAATGACTCGAGTTTGCATTTCTTTATAACAGTAGTACTTCATTGTGTGTAAATGTTGATGGATGCATAGGCTGCTTCTAAGATTTAGCTATTACATGGGTGTGCATGGTTCACTGTGATATGATGTCACTAACTCTTTTGAGAAGATACCTAGACTGGGAACAGCTGGGTCAATGGAATTTCTAGTTCCAGTTTTTTGAGGAATTTCCATACTGATTTCCATGGTGGTTGTACTAGTTTATATTCCCACCAACAAAGTAGGAGGCTCCCTTTTTCCCCACAGCCCCACCAGCATTTGTTCATACTGATTCTTTTCTTTTTTTTTTTTTGGTACCAGGGATTGAACTTGGGAGCTTGTGCTTGCAAAGCAGGCGGCAGAACCACTGAGCTAAATTCCCGGCCCTGTTCATACTTGATTCTTGATGACAGCCGTTCTTTCTGGAGTGAACGGAATCTTGATGCTGTTTTAATTTGCGTTTCTCTAATGGCCAGAGATGATGAACATGTTTTCATGAATTGTTTAGTCTTTTGTACTTCTGAGAAGTCTCTGTTCATTTCACTTGCCCATTTTTGGGCTGGATCTCTTATTTTGGGAGGGTCTCATTTTCTTGAGTTCTTCATATATTCTAGATAGCAGACTTCCAAGGAAGAGCTGGCAAGAAAGTTTTTCTCTTCTGTAGGCTATCTTCACCGTGGGTGGTTTCTTTCCCAGCCAGAAGCTTTTTCATTTGCTGTGATCCCGTTTGTTGGGTCTTGATACTATTTCCAGTGCAACTAAGATTCTGTTCAGAGGGTCTGGACCATGTTCTTGGTGTCTAAGGTTCTGGTTTTCTTACAAAGCCATTGCCATGGCTTTAAGTTGAAACATGGCTTCCTTTTACAGGCCAATGGTAAAAGAAGAAAGGAAAATCATAATAAAAAATGGAAGGCACCCTGTGATCGACGTGTTGCTGGGAGAGCAGGATCAGTACGTCCCTAACAGCACCCGTCTGTCAGTAAGTACCGCGTTCTACCAAAAAAGTCAACGATGGTAACACAGACCTAAACTTTCGAATATCAAAGGGATACTTTGTATAATTCGGAATTACGCGTTTTACCTTTGGCTTTAAAGAGCATAATTGTGTATTCACCACCAAATACGAAATTGGTAGTTCCCCACAAAAATTGTCCATAGATAGAAAGATGTAGCAACTAAAGGATGATCTTAGTTCTGGGTAACGCAATAAAGGTACTTGATATTCACAAGTTCGTGAACATGCTGAAGAGGTCAAAATCCTGCCGTGGCTTTGCGAATCCCGATTAGCATCTGGTGTTGGCTGCTGTCCCGGGCGGTGTCCAGGCCGTGACTTTCCAGCCAGTGCAGGGGACGGATGGTCACGGGGACAGGCAGAGTGGGAGCTGCCCTCAGGTGCAGCTGCCAGCAGGGCCGTGCGGAGGGTCCTAGATCTGGGTCCCCGATCCCCGTGAGGGGCGCTGGGAAGGCTCGGGAAAGAGAGGGTCCCCAAGGAGTGGGGAGTGGAGGCGGCAGCCTGGTGAGGTGGCACCGAGGCCCACTGTGTGGCCCACGCTGAGCAGTGGGGCCCAAAGTGTGAGGACCGGCCTTGTCTGGTCACCCCGGCCTCTCCGGAAGAGCCCTGGGAAGGAACATAACCACGTGGGGCAGGGGTGACTGGGCGGAGGAGGGAGGAGGCAGGACAGGGTGCGGCCAGTGGGTGAGAAGCCTGAGTTGCGGGCCCAGCGCAGAGAGCTAGCTCCGGGTTCCTCCAGGAGCCGTGGGGGATGAAGATTTCACCCAGAGCGGTGCAGAACGCACTTACCCCCTGCAGCAGCGGCTCTCAGAGGCTACAGGCGTCTCTGCCACCCCTGAGTTTGGCTGGACAGCAGTGACACTCCTGGCGCAGGATGCCTTCCCCGGGGGGTGGACGCAGCCTGCTGCCGAGGGACCATGCAGTGGGCAGGGCAGGGCAGGGCAGAGTGGTGAGGGGGATCCCGGAGACGGGAGTGAGTTGGGGCCAGAGTCAGTGAGGGAGGGGCGTGTCAGAACGGGGGTCCCTGTCTCATATGTGCCCGCTGTCCCTCTGCTCCGGCTGCGTAGACTGCTCGGACTGCGTGAAGGACAGCAGTTGGCTCTCCTCCTCCTGGAGGCGGGGAAGCCCAGGGCCCAGGCATCGCCTGGCCAGGGCCCTTCTGGCTCTGGATGCTGTCTCCTCTGAGTCCTCAGACTGGGGAGGGGAGGCCCTGCGAGGCCCTCGGGACCCGGTCACCCGAGACCCCCGTCATGGGGCTGGAATTTTAGTGGGCTGCCTACACCCAGGCCACAAAACCCCAGACCCAGTGTCTATAAACTTGTTCCATCCTGTTGGAAAACTTGTTACTAAATTTAGCAAGCAAATTACTCAGTAGCAGTCTTATTAGTCTTTGCATTGTCTTTACAAAGAAGCCTGTGTGAGCATGAGAATTCCTTTTTTAGTTCCCAAAACACCAGGAGGGCATAGCTTTTCTTGAGAAAGTAACACAGGACTAGTATTTGGGAGCTTGGTTTCTATTTAACTTGTAAATCACTTCAGCTCCTGGTTTGCCTGCCCATCAGCCTGAGCCCTGGGCATGGAGTGCTTTTGTTTCTTTGCTTTCTCTCCTTTTTCATTCTCCACCCCTCTTCCTTTTAAGCAGGGTTATTATATTGTTTAATAAAGTAAGATTTGAAGAACTTTGAATATTTGAATATAAAGAATATTTGAATCTTCACAGAATAAGCAGAGTGACTTTTTCCAGCAGGCACCTCAGAATGTTCTTTTACACACTTCTTTTACACATGCTTTTCTAACTTGAGTAGGAGTTGACATGGAACTGTTGCTATGGTGAAGTGCCTTCTACTTTGGGGTATAAGTTTATATATAGGACTAGTGTTGAGAAAGAATTTAGTATGTAAAACTCAATCTAAACTACATCATGGTTAGGAATCTACGAAACAGACCCTGAAAATAGCCCCACATTCAGTGGTGTCGTGGCTTTCTGTGGCCGTGTTGCTTTCAGAAGTGGCCTCAGCTATGAGGTGCTCTTCTGAACTCTATCCTGTGAGATTACTGCAGTGCTTCTGAACAAGCCAGTCTCCACCCCTTTTCTCTCCCAGTTTGCAGAGGACTTTTGAGCTCCCGTTTGCTTGTTCCTGGCCCCAGTGCACTGTGTACCACAGGCCTGTGGTCAGGCCACCTTGGGCCTACACTGGGTACCTGTGGGAGCTGGCAGATGGTGCTGCCTGGAGTCTGGAGTCCCACCCTTCCCTGCCTTACCCTGCACCTTCGACGCCCACACTGGCCTGCCTCTGCCCCCCCCCCCGGTCCTCTCCAGGCTCAGCCTCTGTGTCCCCCCGCACGAGCCCTTCCTTAATTAATGCAGGTGGGTGCCCCATCCCAGGTAACCCCCCATGGCTGTCCACACCTTCATAGTCATCCTGCTGAGTCAAGTGGTTCTTTTCTGGCTGTGCTTCCCGCAAACTGTAAGCTGGAAGGGAGCAGGACATACGCCTCTTCTGTATGGGTGTAACTCTCATATCTGTCACATGCTCTGACACATAGCAGGAACCTAATCAGATCTGTTAAGGAAGGATTAGCTGGAAGCTTCCAGCAGGCTCCAAGTATCACTTTACATTTTTGCCTTTTTTTTCTTTCCTCCACAAAATGTTACTTTTTCAGGATGTTCTATTGAGATTTCACAGTTTGCAGAATAATTTCTCTGCAGCACCAGCAGGAAATTCAGGATCTTGCAGTGTAGCACTCTTCACACGCATGAGTACACCAAGTTCCACAGGGGTGGAGCTTTCCAGCTTTGACCAGGCTGGATAGTCTTGGACTGTTGTCATGGCTTAGATCTAAATGTTCCCCAAAGCTCATGTGTTTGCAGGTGGAACGGCATTGGATCATGGGGCACTATACCTGTCAATGGATTGATCTGTTGATGAGTTCAGAGCTGAATGTGCAGTTAGGAGGTGGGGCCTGGTGGGGGAGGTGAGTCAGTAGGGGTCCTGGAAGGGTGTATCCTTGTCCCGAGCCACTTCCCCTTTGCTAGCTCTTTTTCTCCCCCACCCGCTCTCTCTGAGCACCGTGTGCTGAACAGCTTTCTTTCACCATGTTTCTGCCTTGGAGTTGGCTGACCATGGACTGCAGCCTTTGAAACCATGAGCCAGGATAAATCTTTCCTCCTTAAGTTGCTGGTGTCAGATATTTTATCACAGCAATTGAAAGCTGACTAGTGCAACTCTGTTCCCAAACATCAACCTGATCTCAGTGAGTCCGTGTTTTCCAACCTTTTTCACTTGCCAGCCACAGAAGACATGGCGATACTTTGATTGTGCACTGCAATAGAAAGACAAGGTGGAGGCTGGTTGAGAGATCAGGGCGCTGACGCAGGGCCACCTTGGAGCTCAGGGCTCAGCATCTTGGTACAGCTGTAGCCCTAGGAAACCCACTGAGGCAGATTGCTTGGGCCATCCCGTCACAAGGCCCTGCAGCTTCCTTATTAAACCTGATGGCTTTCTGGTAGATGGGTTTTTGGTAGCAGTTCAAGTTGAGGTTTTTGATTGATGGTTTTTATGTTTTGTTTGAATTAAGTAATACAAGTTGAACTGATTAGTAAGAAAGGCAGTTGGGGAAGGGAAATGAGACGAATGGGGCTTCAGAGAGCACGTGGAGCCTGTGGACCTCTAGGCCCCCGGGACCCCCGCCGCCCAGGTGTGCTGGAGCACGTGGGGATCCTGGGGCTCTGGCCTCAGTGCCCAATCCTCCTCAGTGTCTGCAGAATGACACGTGTGATACGGGGGACTGCTTGAAGCTGGTGAAGATGAGGAAACTTCCCAGTTTCAGATACTTTGGCTGGCCCAGAAGTGCTTGTTTTGGCTGTGTAAGAATTAAATGTGAGACTCGTGAGAGTGGCATTCAATAAGCTGCGGACTCTTTGTATCTAATTACCAAGCAAAGCAACAGTAACACGTGCCCTAAACCGTGTCTGAACGTTAAGCTTAACTTCATTCTGTGGCGAGATTACTCCCTTAGATTCTGAAAGAAATGTCTTTTTCACATAGCATGATAACTAGATCCCGAGGCCTGAACATTAGAGGGGAGGTTAATGGTGACTGGACATTATTTTCTATGACTTCTCTCCTCTTCGCATGTTCCTCTCTTCTCACTGGTGAGACGATAAGATAGAGGGACATTTGTATGGTGACTGGTTATTTGTAGGTCTCTGACCTGTGCATCTATCTCTTTACCCAGAATATTCCTCCTCTTGCTTCCTGTCTCTTATCCATCTTCTTTGATTGAACTCCTATTCATCCTCCAAGGCCCAGCTACCAGCTCCTTAGTCCTTCACTGTCACTTCTGGCAGAAACAATCTGTCCATTAGCTGTTTTCTGAAATTCTTGTCCTGTACTGCATGTTGGGACCTGGAGACAGTGGGACAGTGGTGTCTGAAATCCTGTTCTGACATCGTTTTCCTGTCATCGAGGCCAGGCCACCGTACTTGCTGGGCCTGGTTTCCTCGTCTTTGGGATGAAGGGATTGGGCGGGTGGCCGCTGCCCTCAGCCCAGGGGCAGGTACGTGGGCATTTCCCGGGTGGAAGGGTGTGGGTCCAGGCTTGCCGCCCCGCCCAGCCCCTTTCTGTCCCTCATGCCCAGAAGTGGCCTGGTGGGACCTTCCCTGGGAGCCACCCTGGGCTGACCTTCTCAGGAATGAAATGCGGGAGTCCCCACAGTTTCCCAGTGGCCTGTGGCTGTCATAACAGTGGCCCCCCAGGAGGCCCCTGTGCACGGGTCAGCACCTGTGCGCATCAAGGGAGGAGCCTCATTTGCAGAGAAGCAGCTCTTGCTGGCCTTGGAAATGAACGCCTCGGTCTCTCTCCACTGTGCACCTTCCGACTTGGGGATCTTCGGGCCAACCAGCACTTGGTGCACCCAGTACCGGGCCCAGGGACCCAGAGCCGGAGCCCCCCCTTCGCAGGCAT